CGCCGCCATCGCCGCCCGCCGAGCGGCCCGCCCTGGTGGCGGCGGCGCCGCCGCCGCCGCCGCTCCAGGCAAAGGCACTGCCGCCCTGGGCCGCCCCGCGCGCCGTCCTGCAGCGGCGCAGCAGGCGGGCGGCACTGGCGGCTTCGGTCTCCTGGCGTCCCCGCAAAAATCGGTGCACGCGGAGGGGCAGCGGTGCGGCGACCCTGTGCCAGCCAGGCAGCCAGCCGGCAGCCAGCAACATCTAGCACACATGACATGCAAAAACATGCGTGCTAGAACAGCCGCGCCTCACTTGACGTCTGGCAGGGTGACACAAGTGCTTTCCAGGGAGGCTCTGAGGTAGGGCGCATCCCAGGCGGCGGCAGGCAGCCCCCGCACCGCATGCAGCGCGGCGCGCAGCCGCCAGAAGCGCGCCGGCGGCGCCGCCAGCGGCAGCGGCGCGTCGCGGGAGCCCTGTACCGCGGTGTTGACGGCGTGGCCAAAGGCGTTGAGCCAGGCCACGGGGCTGGTGCCCTGCGGGGAGAGAGGGAGGGGGCAGGGTGCAGGTGGGAGGGGCGAGGAGGAGGGGGCAGGGGGCAAGGGGTGGGCACGAGGCAGGAGGAGGGGCGGGCGCAGGGTGGGCGCGGGGGGAGTCGAGCGGGCACCTGAGCCTGCTTCGCAGGCACCCGGTGCCGCCGGCCGCTCGACAGGCGGCGGAGAGACCGCTGCATGCTGCCACCAATGCCACAACACCCCCACCCCAGCACGAACCCAGACACACTTCGGCACACATGTACAAGCATACACACCAGCACATTTTATTTGTGTACTGCGATTATTACTTGTTTATACTGTAAACGCACACACAGCACCGCCCTCCCACCTGGCTCCTGATCAGCGCCTGCCCCGCGGAGCGGGCGCAGGTGCGGGTGCAAGGCATGGCTGTGGTGACCGCCTGCGTCACCAGCTGGCCCGCGCTGCCGTGGCTGATGCCCGCGGCGCCCAGGTCTGCGGGAGCGTGCGGGCTGACCCTGCAGGGGCAGGCAGAGACGCAGGCAAGGCAGGCAGAGACGG